CCAGCCCCTATTATTATTTTTAAATTTGCTGTAGGGCATATGTGCTTAGCAGAGAGAGAGAGAGAGAGAGAGAGAGCGAGCAAGCCACCAGGTCCAGGATTGAAACCACAGTTGGCCATGTGGGAGTCCGGTGCCTTATCCATCACACCACCTGCTGGCCCCACACATTGTATTTTAATTAAGATCCAAATTTGTGGAATGGATTTGAATAATGAACATGGAAGATTTAATGTGAATTTTACCGTGTAATGCAGGAGATGTCAAGCAAAAATCTTAGGTTAAAAGATTCGGGCCAGCAGATGATGTAGTTACGTTGTTGGATCCCATATGACTGACTACAGTTTGAGTCCTGAACCTGGTGACTTGAAACTCAGGCTGGGGGTGTGTGTATGTGATCCCAAGATCCCAGGAAGAAGGAATTGTGGAGTGACCATCTCCCCTGGGGGGTGATTTCTCACTTTCCCTTTCACTGTCTCTGTCTTATCACTAGTCAGTGCGCCCTAAGGCAAAAACCTCTCAAAAAAAAAAAAAAGATTCAGGTTTATAAATCAAACCTGTCTGCAGTGTGACACTGAAGGAAAGAAGACTTTGCTAGTAAGTTGAGCTGACTTGAACTAGACAGATCATACTGGAAATGGTATAGGCTTGACACATTCAGGAAATGGTTTTAACAAATCTGACGGGCTTAGGAGATAATTTGATATTAAGGGTGTGCAGTAGGCAGTGATGGGGAACAGGACAGTAGGCTTTCCGTATGGAAACCTCTGCTCCCGTTCTTGTAGTGAAATTTCAGTACATAACAGCTCTAGATACTCTGCCTATTCCTTACCCCTCAATTTATTCTTTAGAAGTAACTTGATTTTACCAAACCTTTTTTTTTTATTCCATGTCCACACAGAAAGTTATAGGGTCTTTCAATTGGCCTCTGTTTTTCATAAATGGGATCCACTACACATGTTCAGCATCTTTATTTAACTTGTAGTATTTTGGAAATGATTCCATATTAAGTTCATATGGAATTAATTCCTTTTTAAACTACTGCCCAGTGTCCTACAATAAGATTATGCCATAATTTTATGCCAGAGGGTGGGTGCATGCATGCATGTGTTTGCAAGAGATAGAAAAAGTACCCCTTGACGGGGCCTGGTCATGCTGCAGTCCTTTTTCCATTTCTCTACCCCATCAGGGTCCTGGGTACGTGCATGCACTCCAGGAATGTTTCTCAAGCTGCAGAGGCCATGATTCAAGCACTGTTTGGCCATATGGGATTCCAGCTTCCCCTGTATAGAACTGCTGCACTGTGGGGCCAACCCAAAATTAAGTCACAGTTTAAACCATTTTCTGTTGATAATGCATTTGGGATATTTTCATATTTTTGCTGTTATAAGTGAACAGCCATATCCATGCTTACCTCAGTACTTGCACAGATATTTTACCAGGCATTGATATCTAGAACTAGTAAAGGTGTTATCAGAATTGTGCTTTAGGGACCAGCAGTTAGTGTAATGGCAAAAAAAATCTCTCTCTCTCAAAAAAAAAAAAGAATTGTGCTTTAGACCAAGCCAAGCTAGTTTACACCGCCCCAACAGCAATGGCTGAGAATGTCTGTTTCTCCACTCTTAAGCCAACACCATATGCTAAATCATTTTTTATTTTGACAAAAGTAATGATTTTTTTTTAAGAGGTTTTTTTCTATAGGGCGTGTGCACTCACCAGAGAGACAGAGAGAGACAGACAGACAGAAAGCAAGAAATCACCTCCCAGGGGGGATGGCCACGCCACAATCCCTTCTCCTCCATTCTCCTCTTGGGATCTTGGGCACGCACGCACATGCACCTGGCATGAGTTTAAGCCACAGGGTCCAGGACTCGAACCGCGGTCGACCACACAGGAGTCCAGTGACATAGCCAGTACGCTAACTGCTGGTCCCACAAAAGTAATGATTTTTGATGTCATTGTTTTAATTTTATTTTTCAGTCACTTCCATATTTGGGCATTTGTATTTCTCCTCTAAATTGTCTGGTATTTCCCTTTGCCAGCTTTTGGGTTGATTTTCCTTTTCTTGTTTTGTAAAAGAGTGTTTTGAACATTCTAGGTATTAAGCTTTTCTAAACTCTGGATATTAATATGTAGATATGTTTTCCTAGTTTGTCACTTGTCTTCATTTTTGGCCGTTTTTGCCATGCAGAAGTTAAGTTTTATGTAGTCAGTTCTTTCTTTCGCAGGTTTAAATTCTGTTGAGTAACAACGGCAACAATAATAGCAAGCGCTTAGGATCTTTGCGTGTTTACAGTATTGTCTTCTAAGTGCTGTTAATCTTCTTCACCACCTGAGGGGTCGGTATTATCTGCCTGCTTTTCAGATGAGGGACTTTAGTGCAGCCAGACTGAGCGCCTCTGACTTACATTTAACGAGAGGTGGAACCTCGATATAACGAGAGGTGGAACCTTGATACCAATCCAAACAATCTGGCTTTAGCAGCTCTGTCTCAAGTTGATACATTTTAAAGGTAGTGACACCAGGATTACAATGATTTATTTGAATATCCCTTCTAATAAATATTTTTCTTGTTCTCATTTTATTTTTACAATGCATTTTTCTTTTCTTATCATTGTTGCTAGAGGGCACATGTGCTTTCCAGAGAGAGACAGAGAGGAAAAAAGCACCCTCCAATGGGATGTGGTCACACCATAGTCTCTTCTCCCTCTTGTCAGGATTTTAGGCACACATACATATGTGCCTGGCATCTTTTTCAAGCTGCAAGGGCTGGCATTCGAACCATGTGTTTGACTGTGTGGAATCTAGCTCCCTTAACCACGGTACCATGGGGTACATGTGGCCACAATAAGTTTTCAGAGGAAGATAGGAATCCAGTTTATAGATAGAGCAATAAAAAAAAAAAATTATTACCATGGGATTGAGCATCTCTTCATATATCTTAGCCCTCTCCCCACCCCTTTTTTAATCAATTGCTGATTTCAAGTCCTTTGTCCATTTTGACTTTTTGGGTTTTTTTTTTTAGAGGATTTTGCTACAGGGCACGTGCACTCACCAGAAAGACAGATACAGAAAGTGAGAAATCACCCCTGGATGACCACACTGCAATCCCTTCTCCTCCATTCTCCTCTCAGGATCTTAGGTATGCACGTACATGCGCCCGGCAGGAGTTTAAGCCACTGGGTCCAGGACTCTAACCGTGGTCGACTACATGGGAGTCCAGCGACACAGCCATTATATCATCTGCTGATCCCCATTTTGATTTTTTTTTTTTTTTTTTTTTTTTGGTACAAGGACTTTAAGGTTGAAGATGTTAATAATTTTTAAGATTCACAGTCTTATTTTTTAACTTTTTTTTTTTTTTTTAATTTCCAGAGGACTGTGTGCTCACCAGAGTGAGATGAGAGAGAGAGAGGAAAAAAACACCCCAGGTGGAGAGAGGCCATGCTGCAATCCCTTCTCCATCTCTTAGGGTTTTGGCATGCATGAGTCCAGCTTGTTTTTCAAGCCCCTGGAGTATGGACTTGAACCCCAGTTGGCCATATGGGACCTGGCTCTCTTAACCACTGGGCTTTGGAGTTGGCCCAACTTTTAAAATTATTTCTAATACATATTGTGTCATGATGTATTTTTCTGTGCAAAAATGCATCATGACTTTCCCGATGACCTAATAGAACTTAATTTTATTTAGTTTTATCTGTAGCTCTTACTGAATGTAATTTTTAATGCCATTTATCTTAGAAAGATTTTCCTTTAAATTTTCTTCTAAATTTTTTTTGTGTGCCTTTAAAAAATGTAACTAATCTTTTTGAAATTTATTAAATGTGCACTGGGTATCTAAAAATAAAATATCCTAACTAGGAAATTTTCCTTAATGTATCTTACTGAGTAGTTCATAGGTGGTGGTTAGTGAGTGGGTCTTGCTGGGCTTTACTTTGTATGTTGCACAGTGGAACTGGGCTGTCTGGTTGAATCCTGGCTCCGCCATTTCCTGGTAGTGTGACTTTGACTTTGGATCTATTTCTTCATTTTAAATTAAGGTTAATAACAATATTACACAGTTATGAAGAGGATCAAATAAGACACTGACTTTAACGTCCTTACTGTTCTGTAGTAGGCATGTGTAATGCCACCAGTGTTCCCTTATATGCACTCACTTGTATAAGTGCAGGAAACGTTTCATGGAGGCATAGAATCTCACATTTGGGAGGGACTTCACAGAGTATATACATTAAAAAGATAATTCCTGGGACCAGCAGTTAGCATAATAGCTATGTTGCTGGACTCCCAGGTAGTCGACCGCAGTCTGAGTTCCGGACCCAGTGGCTTAAACTCACGCCGGGCGTGTGTGCGTGCAACACCCAAGATCCCGAGAGGAGAATGGAAAAGCAGGGATTGCGGCATGGCCATCCCCGCCGGGAAGTGATTTCTCACTTTCCGTTTGTTTCTCTCTTTCTGGCGAGTGCACACGCCCTATGGCAAAAAACTCTCAAAATAAAAAAAAGATAATTCCTGATACTGTTATTTCTAAATTTGACTGCACACTAGTCAGTTGGAGGACTTCGAAAAAGCCCCAGGTTCTGAACCACACCTCTCTGGGATGTATGGTCAGTAATTTATTTTTAGAAAGTCTGTGGTTCTTGAGCTGTTGTCCAGCTTCTGCTTTGAAGCTTGCCATATTGTAATTTTGGAATAATGGATTAGATGGGCTCACAAAAGGCAGTGGCGTCCTTTCTTTCCAATATCTGTTGTATAAAAGGTGTAAGGATAATTACTCATGGATCAGTTAATATTGTTTACAAAATAAATGATTCTCCTTCATCTGACCTTTTATTTTTTTCCCCAACTCAGTATACATTTTAGATGTGAAAGTCATCTTTTTCTTGTGCATTAGAAATAATGCTGAACGTTTGCTCTGATAGGATACTAGATGTTCCTTTTTAAATATGTTTATTTAATAAAGTTAATCTGGAATCTCTAACATTTTATTTTTATTTTTTTAGAACTTTTTGACAACTACATGCAGCAAGATGCCCATGAATTCTTAAATTACCTACTAAATACAATTGCTGATATTTTACAAGAAGAGAGGAAGCAGGAGAAACAGAATGGCCGCTTACCTAATGGTAACATTGATAGTGAAAACAACAACAGCACACCAGACCCAACATGGGTTCATGAGATTTTTCAGGGAACATTAACTAATGAAACCAGATGTCTTACTTGTGAAACTGTAAGTATATCATGAAGTTTTGTATAGAAAAATTTTACTTCAGAGATGTTCTTTGAGGATGAGAGAATGAGAGATAAACTTGGAATTGTAATTCTTAGGTGTAGTATAAATCTTAAAGATGTACTTTATCTTTTTCTTTGCAGAGATTTTTGCTATAGAGCACATGCACTCACTGGAGAGACACAGAAAGACAGAGAGACAGAAAGCGAGAAGTCACCCCCCATGGGGATGATCATGCTACAGTCCCTCCTCCATTCTCTTCTCAAAATTGTGGGCATGCATGCATATGCACTTGGCATGAGTTTTAAGCCACCTGTTCTGGGGGACAAACCACGGTTGACTGTATGAGAGTCCAGCGATATAACCATTATGCCATCTGCTGATCCCAAAGATGTACTTTCAGTTGAAAGGAAATTGTACTTTTATGTAATATCATTTGTTTATTTATTGGAGAGGTTTTTGCTATAGGGTGCATGCACTTGCCAGAAAGAAAGAGACAGAGACAGAAAGCAAGAAATCATCCCCCGGGGGGGATGGCTACACAGCAGTCCCTTCTCTTCCTCTCTCTTCTTCCAGATCTTGGGCACGCACGCACATGTGCCCAGTGTGAATTTAAGCCACCGGGTCCAGGACTTGAACCACGGTCGACTACATGGGAGTCCAGCAACATAGCCATTATGCCAATTGCTGGTCCCTGTAATATCATTTATTGACAGTGAATACATGAGGTGATAAAAAGGTAGTTAATGAATGAATGTAAATAAATAAATTTAAATTAAAAAAAAAACAATTTGAACTGTTTGCTTTTGTTTCAATTTGGGAGGCCACAGAACCATGGTATTGAAATTGTATGTCTTAAGCTCGGAGGAAATTTACAGATCAGGAAGGTGTATTAATTTGTATTTCCTTTTTCTAGTTATACATAGTGTCTGTTTGCAATAAAAAATAAAGCGTACTCTGTTACACGTAAGGAGGAGAAATGCCTTTTGGCTGGATACTTTGTAAGGATGGGTTTAAAAACTAGTTACTTTGGATGGATACCCTAGCTACCCTTGCACCCCTTTTATATTCTGTCTACTTACCTAATTTCTCACTTGTGGAATGAGAGATCAGATTTACTTAATCAAGCATTCATTATCCAATTTTGTCAAGTGAGCCAATAATTTTCTTTATAACATTTCCCCTCATTCTGTACAGAATCCGGTTTAGAATTGGCCATTGCATGTAGCTATAATTCATTAGCCTTTTTAAGACTGTGCTTCCCTCCCTGTTTCTAATCAGATGTTCTCATTTTAAGTTTATCTAATGTTTCTTCCTAATTAGGTGGATTATTTACTCTTGGCTAGAATACTGCATGTTATGTCCTTCTCAGGACATTATGTATGTAGATACTCGGTACCCATCTGCCCCTTACTGGTGACACTCATTTTGATCACCTGGTCACAGTGCTGTTTAGTTGCTCCACTTTGTCCACTTGAATGACTAAATCAGACAAACTTAACCCTGGCAGAGGTAAATAAGGAATCTTTTTTGTGTATTCTCCTGATGGAGACGGGGGTGGGGAGGGGGGAGGACAACCACAACCACCAGGATGGGTGGCTATGCCACAATCCCTTCCCCTCCATTCTCTCAGGATTTGTAGAACACACACACACACACACACACACACACACACACACACACAGGCCCAATGTATTTCTTGAGCCCCTGAGTCCAGCACTCAGACTGCTTAGTTGGTGATGTGGAATGCAGCCATCTTAACTACCAGGTCCCCAGGTGGCCCCAGGAACCGTCTTTTTTTATTTTTTTATTTTTTTCCCCTTTAAGTTAATAGACTTGAGAAAAATTGAGGGCAAAGTACAGAGTTCCTATGTTTTTCCTCTCGGTCCCCTCCTCCACTTCCCCGTTATTAACACCTGGTATTAATATACTGCGTTTGTCTCATTCAGCCAGCCGATATTGATACATCATTAATTACAATCAGTAGTTAATAGTAGTGGTCTCTGTTTTGGTGGTGTGTTTTCCATGGTTTTGACAAATGTATAATGACTTGTGTCACCATTATATAGTATCATACGGAATCGTTTCCCTGCCCTTAAAAGTCCTCTCTATGTGTTCATTTGTCTCTCTGTTCTAACTCATGGCAGCCACTGATGATTCTACTGTCTGTGTATTTTTACTTTTTTAGAATGTTTTATAGTTGGAATCACACATTATTTAGTCTTTTCAGATTGACTCCTTCCACTTAGCAGTGTGTATTGTAAGATTTGTTCATTTCTTTTCGGGGCTTGGCTTTTCTTTAAAATTCTTGAATAACATTTCACTGTATGGTGTATCAAATTTTTTTTATCCATTCACCTACTGAAGGGTATCTTGCTTGCTTTCAAGTTTTGGTGATTTTGAGTAAACGGCTATACACATCTGTGTAAAAGTTTTCATATGAACATATATTTTCAACTCCTTTGGGTAAATACCAAGTACAGTTGCTGGATCATAACATCAGAGTATGTTTCTCCCTGTAAGAAACTACCATGTGTGTTTTAAAGTGGCTGTACTGTTTTCTATTCCTGCCAGCAGTGAGTAACAATTCTTTTTTCTCAACATCCACGTCAGCATTTGATGGTGTCAATGTTTTGGATTTTGGCCATTCTGATAGTTGTGTAGTGATACCGTGTTTTAATTTGCAAGTCTCCAGTGATAGCTGATGATGGTGATGATGATGATGATGATGATGATGATGATGATGGTGGTGATGGGCTTTTCATATGCTTATTAGCAGCCATCCGAGTATCTTCCTTACTAAAATGTCTTCCATTCAGTTTTTTTTTTTTTTTTTTTTTCTTTTTTAAGAGAGATTTTTTTCTTCTGGGTGTTTGAGCTTACCGGAGACATAGAGACAGTGAGAAAGAGAAAGGGAGAAGCTACCTCCCAGGGGGGCTGGCCATGCCATAATACCTTATTTCCATTCTCCTCTCAGGGCTGTGGACATGCATACACACATCAGGTGTGAATTTCACACTGCTGACTTGAACCATGATTGACCATGTGGAAGTCCAGCACCTTAACCACTGTGCCCCCTGCTGGCCCCTCTTTGGTTCAGTTTTTAATTGCTAGAGGATCCGTATGTCAGCTAGCCAGAGAGAAGGAGAGAAAGAAAGCATCCCCCCATGGGGCATGATCATACTGCAATCCCTTATCCATCTGGTTAAGGTTGGAGATGTGCATGTACGCATGCCTGGAGTATATTTTCAAGCCTCCTAGGGCTGGGATTCAAACTATAGTGAGCCTTGTGGAATATGGCTCCCTTTACCATTAGGCTAGGGTGGATGGCCCTCATTTTTAAATGTTGTGTGTATGTGTGTGCTTGTTTTAAGTGGATCTTTTTGTTATATTGGGTTGTTGGGAAAGTCATGATACATTCTTGCATTAAAAAAATAGAAAAATACTTATGTCGACTACATCTAAAATACTAGGTGTGACTTTCACAACCACCTAGTACTTTTGAATACCAGTGCTTTTTCAGATCAGCCTTTTGGAATATTTTCTCCCAGTCTCTGGCTTGTCTTTTCATTCTTGACAGAACAGAAGTTTTTAATGTTAATGAAGTCCAACTTTTTCTTTTATGGATCATACTTTTGGTATTTTATCTAAAAACTAATCCACAAACCCAAGGTCACCTAGATTTTTTATCCTGGAGTTTGATAGTTTCGCATTTTATATTTAGGCCTGAATCCATTTTGAGTTAATTTTTATGTAAGTTATAAGGGCTGTGACTATTTTCATGCGGATGTTCACTCGTACAAGCACCCTTTGTTAAAAAGACTGTTCTCCATTAAATTGCCCTTGCTGCTTGGTCAAAGATAAGTTGATTTATTTGTGTGGTTGTATTTCTTTATGTATAAAGAGGGGCCTCTGTATTCTGTTCCATTGGTCTGCACAGTCTTGATTCCTATAGCCTTACAGTAAATCCTACAGTCCGATAGTGTCAGTCTTTTGCCTTTCTTCTTTTTCAATGCTAAGTTGACCATTCTAGGTCTTTTGCCTTTTCCATATAAACTTTAGATTCAGTTTTTCAATAACCATGAAGTATCTTGCTGGAATTTTGATTAGGATGTTGCTGAATCTGTAGATCAAGAAATAACATCTTGACAATATCAAGTTTTATTTACCTCTTTGATTTCTTTTATCTGAGTTTGGTAGTTTTTCCTCCTAACTGATTATATACATATTTTGTTCTATATCTCTCTGAAGTATTTCATGCTGGGAGAGGTACTAATGTAAATGGCATTCATTCATTCAGCATGTCTTTTTGGTTCAGTCATGACTAAAAAGATACAATCTTGAAATAAAAGCTGTTACTTACACCAGTGAGTGATCTTTTGGCTGTTGGTTATGCATTATCTTTTTAACAATAGTCAGACATTTGTAAAATGATCACTGTCAATAGTGTAATTTTAATGATTGAAGGACACAAAAATTGGTAAATAAATAACATATCTTTTCTAAATAAATTCTTAGTGGTGAACCTCTGTCAAATCAAGGCATATAACTGAGTGTGTGCACACAGCAGCAGCAGGCTGTAAAGACACCCGGGGGTCAGAGGAACGAAATCTCTGTGTGCTCTTTTATTGCCCTAACCATTAGTTAATTGCAGTATTGGCTTGACTGGACAGATGTTAGGACTTGGGCTCAATACTAATCTTTACTCAGTCAAATCAAGTCTAGTTATTGTCTTAATAGGAATTTTTATGATGTATCTTTTTAAAAAATATTATCCTAACTGAATTCCAGGCTTTAAAAAACATACTGCCCAATGATTAGAGCAGTATTCAGTTGAAATAACGACAGTTGCTTGGTGTTTATTGTAACATGATTTGATCTATAGTAGATGTCAGAATATGTATGATTCAGCCTTCTTCAACGAAACAAATAGTTGCATTTGCTTATTAACCTGTTGAGAAATACAGTAGTGAGTGAGGCTGGCGAGGAAGTTTTGGGGACCCTACGTATAGGCCTGTGGGACACTCTGCCAAAGCCTTTGAAGTTTATTTTCTAGGCTGAGGAAGCAGGGAGTGGAGGTTCAATATTTTTGAAGGAAAAGCTGATATCAGCTATTCTTGTTCATACTGATTAATTATTAATGTGATTTATAGAGGATAGATAAAAATCCTTCTACCTCTTCTTCATCAGGTCCTCTGTGGTCTGCATTACATGTTTGCAGATAGTTTTCCAAGAATTAAGAGTATGAATTGAGACTACTTATAATCTGAGATTCAATAAATGATCATATTACCGTTTCTTTATCAAACTAAGCTGAAGGGTTGACATCCAAGGTTTCTCAAAGTAAATAAATATAGTTTCTTTGTTCAGTATTACATCATATTTACACATCTACTACCCAGGTAGAAGATGTGTAGAGGGACGTAGATGATGAGTAAGACATGGCTTTGATCTTAATGTGCTCGTAGAGTAGTGAAGACTGGCTGGCACATAGGCAGTTCCAGTACAGTGTGTTTTGGTATAGGTAAATGCAGGGGATGTCATGTAAGCCAGAGAGCTGTAGAGCTAACCCAGGCGGGTGTGGGAGAGGTTTGGGAAGGCTGGGGATGGGCTTTCAGGAGCTTAGTGCAGTGTGCAGTTATTAACATCTCCAGCATAGGAGGCTGCTTTCTATAGTATCCCTTCTGGTGGTAGTCTTTGTTCTGTGAGGGTTTCTTCTAGATCTCATTGCCTTTTCTTTTCTCATCTATTCTTTGAAAAAAAAAAAAAAATTCCCAGAGGGTATATGCGCTCAAGGGGAGAAGATGGGGAGGAGGAGGAAAGCACCCTCCCCCAGTGGGAGATGTGGTCACGCCATGGTCTCCTCCTCTCTTCCTCTTAGGATTTGAGGCATACAGACACACACACCTGACATCTGTTTCAAGTCACCGTGGCTTGCTGGGATTTGACTCATACAGTCAGCCATGCTCACATGAATAAGATGTGTCTTTGATCTTTGTCCAGCTCTCTCAACCACTAGGCCATGGGACCGGCCCTCCATTTATCCCTTAAATATCAGTGTTCACTAGGGTTTCATCATGGGTTGCTTCTCACTCTGCAGTGGGAGGCTCCTGGTCCATTTTTATGATTACATGAGTCCCAAGGCCAGATGCCCAGCCTAGAACCCCTTTTTCCCTGAGTTTTAGACACATGTCTTCTGATACTTGGTGTGATATGATATCAGGACAGATTGGCCTAACAGCGGCTAGACGTGTTCACATCCACTTTTTTTTTAAAAGAATTAATTAATTATTATTACTATTATTTTTTTTTTTTCACTGAGTTTTGCCAGTCAAAGACAGAGAGAGGGAAAGCGAGAAAGCAAGCCACCAAATCTGGGATTTGAACTGCAGTTGGCCATGTATGAATTCCAGTGCCTCAGTCACTGTGCCACCTGCTGGCCCTCACAACCACTTTTAAAAGTACCACCTGGCACCAACACAATTGCAAATATAAACCTAGTAACCCAAATACATTCTGAGGACCCAGAGTTCCTTTATGTTACAGTTTTTATGTTATCATAAAAGTGAAAATTTAAAATAAAGATCCAAGACAATGTCTGAGAACTTCATTTTGAGAAATACAGACCTCTTTTTGAGAAACATGACTTGCATCTTCTCTTTAGTTGACACACAGACCACTGCATCTAGCTTCAGCTCCCTCTGCCGTACTGTCTCTTGTCACCCTACCCACCAGCCAGCACGGGGCTGGTTATTTCTCCCCGCACACATATGTTCTCCTTCCTCTCTGGTGATTTTCACTGGATATTTTGAGACCCCATTCAGTTGTTCCGTACTTACTACTCTTTATACTGTACAGTGGAATTACATCTTATGTGGCGATCTAGGTCCTAAGGGTAGCTCAGTGTAGAAATTACAGAAGGTCAAAATCACTCTCAAAATTCCCTCACACTGTCCATAAGCTACAGTGTGCACAGTGCCCATTTACTCACATCTGCATAAGTGTGTGATACGCACAGCCACACCATCTACCACAACTCAGTGATACCGATCTTATATCATCGATACAGTATGAAAACAGGAAATCGTTTGGCTGCTAAGTTTACAACCAGTGTGGATGGGAGCCCCAGGAAACTGAGTCTGACCTGTCCCCTGCACATGCTCACCTTGGGATTAGACCACTGAAGGAAATAGCCGAGTCATTTAGTCTAAACTTCTGTCCTATTTCAATTCAAAAGAGCCAGAAGAACATTGTTTTTGATAAGCTGATTTATCTACAAATCAAATAAAACTTAATATTGTGTTTTTGTGAGGAAAAAAGTAGGTCTTAAGTGAAGAACATAATTTGTCTTTTTGGAGAATTCTTTTCTTAAATGATAAAACAGTATAGGTAACTTACATACCCTGGCCTTTTGTTTTTAAACGTTAAGACAGGGTGTTGCTGTGTTGTTATCCTACTGTGGCCACTTGCCCAGTAGCCGAGACCCTAGGCTACAAGTGGGCCTCGGTCTGCTGAGTAGTAGCATCTACCAGTGCAGCCTGCCGAGGCTCAGCCTCGGCCTGTGCTTTTTTTAAGAATCAGTATATATGATACATTTTATTTTATGCTTTAATGGAACACTAAGATTTTAAAAAGTAATGAAATTTCATGTCGTGCTAGCCTTTGCCAGTAAGAGAATCAATTAAGTGTGTACTTTAGTGTTTTACCTGTACATATGATAAGAGTTATTTATTCACTGTCCTTTTGCATTATCCAGATCAAGTAGTTTTCTTTGAACTTGAGGAGACATAATTGTTTACATACTTAACTACTAATAATAGAACACATTTAACTCTGTGAATTGGGAACTGTAGCTTACTAATATGAAGCAGTCAAATATTATTTCTTATTTTTTACAGATAAGCAGTAAAGATGAAGATTTTTTAGATCTTTCTGTTGACGTGGAACAAAACACATCAATTACTCACTGTTTAAGGTATGTGTGAAGCTACTTCTTTTGAAGTGTAGTGACTGTTTTTGGTCTGAATATAGTCATGTACTGCTTAATGACAGGGATATATTCTACGAAACGTGTTACCAGGCTATTTCTTCACTGTGTGGACATCATAGAGTGTATTTACACAAACCTGGATGGCTCAGCCTGTCATACCTAGGTTGTGTGGTATAGCCCGTTGCTCGTAGGCCAGAAGCCTGGTTAGCTGTTCCTTATTCCCCTGATTTTGGAGAATTCTTTTCTTAAATGATAAAACAGTATAGGTAACTTACATACCCTGGCCTTTTGTTTTTAAACGTTAAGACAGGGTGTTGCTGTGTTGTTATCCTACTGTGGCCACTTGCCCAGTAGCCGAGACCCTAGGCTACAAGTGGGCCTCGGTCTGCTGAGTAGTAGCATCTACCAGTGCAGCCTGCCGAGGCTCAGCCTCGGCCTGTGCTTTTTTTAAGAATCAGTATATATGATACATTTTATTTTATGCTTTAATGGAACACTAAGATTTTAAAAAGTAATGAAATTTCATGTCGTGCTAGCCTTTGCCAGTAAGAGAATCAATTAAGTGTGTACTTTAGTGTTTTACCTGTACATATGATAAGAGTTATTTATTCACTGTCCTTTTGCATTATCCAGATCAAGTAGTTTTCTTTGAACTTGAGGAGACATAATTGTTTACATACTTAACTACTAATAATAGAACACATTTAACTCTGTGAATTGGGAACTGTAGCTTACTAATATGAAGCAGTCAAATATTATTTCTTATTTTTTACAGATAAGCAGTAAAGATGAAGATTTTTTAGATCTTTCTGTTGACGTGGAACAAAACACATCAATTACTCACTGTTTAAGGTATGTGTGAAGCTACTTCTTTTGAAGTGTAGTGACTGTTTTTGGTCTGAATATAGTCATGTACTGCTTAATGACAGGGATATATTCTACGAAACGTGTTACCAGGCTATTTCTTCACTGTGTGGACATCATAGAGTGTATTTACACAAACCTGGATGGCTCAGCCTGTCATACCTAGGTTGTGTGGTATAGCCCGTTGCTCGTAGGCCAGAAGCCTGGTTAGCTGTTCCTTATTCCCCTGAATATTCTAGGTAATTATAATACAAAGCTATTTGTGTATCTAAACACAGAAAAGGAACTGTTTAAAATACGGTATAAGAGATTAAAAGTGGTATACTATAGGGTTTTTACCATGAATGGAGCTTGCAGGACTGGAAGTTGTTATGGGTGAGTCAGGAAGTGAGTGTTGAGCGAATGGGAAGGCCTGGGACATTACCATACTCTACTGTGGGCTTTATAAATACTACACTTAGATTACACTAAGTTTATAAAAGTATTTTTCTTTCTTCAATAATATATTAGCTTATTTACTTTATCAAGTTCTTAAAGTTTTAACTCTTTTGTAACAAAACACCACTTAAAATACAATTTATTCTATAGCTGTAAATATATTTCTTTACATCCTTATTCTATAAGTTTTTTCTATTTTAATTTAAAAAGTTTTAAAACATTTTTGTTAAGAACTAAGACACACAGACGCAGCCTAGGCCTATGCGGGTCATGATTATCAGTGTCACTGCCTTCTACCTCCACGTCTTGTTCACTGAAAGGGCCATGGTGGACAAAACAACGTGAGGTTAAATCAAGGGCAGGAGAAAATGATGCCATCAAGAGGCGTGAACACACAATGTATGAGATGGTAATGGTCTAATACATACTGTTTTACAGTACACTTAAAAAAATAAGTAGGAGTATATGCTAAAGATGAAAAGTAGAGAATAGTAAATATATACACCAGTAACATAGTTATCATGACCAAGTACACTTCCGTATGTGCTGTATGTGTGTATGCCTGGTAGTGCAAGTTTGTTTACACCAGCATCACCACAACACACGAGTGATGCGTTATGCTTGAGTGTTTAGGATGGCTGTGATGTCACTAGGCAATGGGAATTTTTCAGTCCCATTATAGTATTATGGGATTACCATTGTGTATACTGTACGATGACTAAATGTCATGCAGCATGCGAGCGTATTTTTAAATGAATACGTGCTTTTCTGGTATATGCAAAGTAAACTTATTTTTAATTTTATACAGGGGTTTTAGCAACACAGAAACACTATGCAGTGAATACAAATATTACTGTGAAGAGTGTCGCAGCAAACAGGAAGCACACAAACGGTAATTTAGTGTTTTGTTTTTTTTAAGTTTTAGTGATTCTTAGGATCACTAAATAGATGTCATAGATGGGCTTTCTTAGCTGAAGGTGATTTATGAAAGTTTACACTGAGTAAAAATTGTTAATTTTATCAACAACAGTTAAGGCTCATTAAGTATTACTAGATAGCTGATATTCCACTCAATGCCTTTGTTAAAAAAATTCTGTACCCTTAATTGGTTTTCCGTGTTTAGTGATTGCTTAATAATCATAAACCAGGATAGTTAAAATGCTGGGCTTTGAACCTTTCCTGATGATTGGACTTTTTTCTCGGTGAAGAGTGGTGAGGGAGAAGGATTGCCCTTGGCCACATTCCAGTGTCTGCCGTTCCTGCCTGGGATGTGGCCGGCTGTTCTCTCGGTATGCTGTTAAGACTGGTTTGGTGCCAAGGAATGGGATCTGTGTCGTCATGATCACTTTACTTTTTATTTTGTAACTACCTTAAATAAAGAGAAAAGTTGTATGACTAGTGCCAAGAATCTTTTTTAACCCTAAACCATTTAAGAAACTTACTGATAAATGCTTCACAAACCTGGGCACATTTTAATAGATATTTTGTACCAACAAGGAAATTTTCCTATCTACCCATATTCTTCTAAATCAGGAAAGTAACATTGACATACTGCTGTTACCCCAGAGATTATTAAACCCTTTGGAATAACTCGATATTCCAGTAATGCCTTTATGGAAGGAGGATCCAGTCCAGAATTACACATTGCATTGCATTTGGTATTTGTTATTTATCTCTCTCTGTCTCTTTTTTATTAATTGCCAGAGGTTATGTAACTTGGCAGAGAGAAAGAGAGAGAGAGAAATAGAAAATGCATCCCCACAATGGGCGATGAGGTGTGATCATACCACAATCCTTTTCCTACATTTCTCTTTCCCATTGAGATTTTGAACATGCACACATATATGCCCAGCATGTTTTTCAAAGCACTGGGGCTGGGATTTGAACTGCCGTCAGCCATGTAGGGTCTAGCACTTGATGTACAGCACCTAACTGCTAGGCTGCAAGACTGGTCCTTATATCCCTTTATGGTTTTTTTTTTTTTCTTTCTTTCTTTTTTTCTTTCTTTCTTTCTTTCTTTCTTTTTTTCTTTTTTTTTTTTTTTTTTAGAACAGTTCCAAAGTCTTTTCTTGACTTTAATGATATTGATTCTTTTGGAAATCACAGGCTAGTTATTTTGTACAAATCCCTTAAGTGGGTTTGTCTCATATTTTCTCATGATTAGTTTCAGGTTATATATTGTAGATAGGAATCTTACAGAAGCTATGCTCTGTTCTCCTCATGGCAGTCTACTGTGTCACACACGATTCTGATTTCCCAAGACCACTCCTAAGTGTGGTGATTTCCGAGAAGAACTCATAGTACTGAGCATAGAGTTGTGCCCGCTACTGACACTTACTGTACGGAAAGGCTACGTAGCACAGTCGGCAAAGGGGAAAGCCAGCAACTTTGTAGAGCGAGTGTCCTAGTGGGAGATACACAAGACAATACGGGGAGCTTATCCCAGACTCAGTGCCAGGGCGTTTATTGAGGGCTGGACACGAAGGCACCCTCTGGCTAACATGCACCAAAATTCCAGATTCACAGAAGGTAAGAAGCAAGTATTCAGCATAAACCATCTTTTTTTTTTTTCAAACAGTGTAGACACAGTGCAACACCCTTTCCGATTAGGGAATGAATTTATTTCCCAGATGCTAAATAAGCACCATCATTGCAAACAGGCCTTCCTAAGGGTAGTCAGAGGACACGTTAACCCTCATTAGTGGTGGTGGTATCACTGAACTCTCTCTCTCTCTTTTTTTTTCCTGTGCCCCAGTGAGGAGCTGATGCTTTATTAAAAATATGGAATGCTTCACGAATTTGCGTGTCATCCTTGTGCGCAGGGGCCATGCTAGTCTTCTCTGTATCATTCCAATTTTAGTATGTGTGCTTCCGAAGCAAGCACGCTGAACTCTTGATTAAGGCGATGTTTCTGAGAGTTCTCCACTGATAAGCCAACCTTTTCCCCTTTGTAGTGTATAAGCATTTTTTGTGAATATATTTAGAATTGTAAATATCTCTTCTTCAATGAACTTTTAATTTATTAATTAGAAAATCTCAGTGTGAACTTAAGGATTTCCATTTTATTCAGTAGATTATTATCCATTACCATTCTTACTAATTTTCATGCTCAAATTGTCCTTCATCTGGCCAGGGAGAGCACCTGCAGCCTGGCTCCTGTCTTCCTGATGTGCTTCCTCATTCTTGAGCCCTCCCTTTCTTCCTGGCACATGGTGTTCCAGGCTCTCTACTTGCCCCTGTCACAAGGCCAACCATTTCTCCAAGGAGCCCTGGTTCTTTTTAGGGAGAATGATGCTCAGAAATTAGGATCTTGTATAGGTGTGCTTGTTGCTACTGGGATGTCACTATTTCCAAGTCCCCTTGATGAACACAGCTAGCGAATACATGAATACACACATGCAAAAGTTTACATTTGCTTGTTTCTCTTATTCGTTGATCTGTCTATTGAGAACAATTGACAGTTATTTCACCAAAAAAAGCCAGTTCCATAGAGTTCATTCTAGTGTCTCTCTCTTTTTTTAAGTTTATTTATTTATTTCATGAGAAAGAAGCACCCTAACAAGGTCTTGATGCCATGATCCACGCCAGCCTTCAACTAGCCTTGGATCATGGACACATGTGTGCCTGGCATACTCAGGGAGGTCTCTAGGCTTGAACTGGGAACTTTTCCACGTGTGATTGTCTCAGAGTGTCACATTTCACTGTTGCACCACTGTCTGGCCCACTGCTTGTGATTACAGCTACAATTTAATTGTAATTCTCGTCTCTGACAGTGTATTTTGGCTTCTTTGATTCATACTCTCATTTACGTATTTGATCAGTACACCCGCTGGTAAACACTCTTCGTCTCCCTACTGGGCCCTGTCACATACATGTGTGCACATGTCATGCGTGTTTGTTCACATGTTTGTGCATGCGCATACACACACACACACTTATGCTCTTTCTCTCTCTCTCACACACACACACACACACACACACACACACACACTTACGCTCTTTCTCTCTCTCTCCCTCCCTTCTTCCTCCTTTGTCTCATGCAGACACCCTCGTTTTGCCTGGGCTCCTCTCTTCCCCTTCCTACACAGGTTCATCTGGCCCCATGTACTGGTAGGACTGAATTGTTTATAAAGGGATGGGGAAGAGCTCAGATTTTTAAATGATTGTATTTTTGTTTTTGTTTTAGACACAGACTTATCTGCTAGGAAGGGAAGTAGTTTTGGTAATGGATACAGATAATCAAAGCAAACATCACTGTTCTCATCTCTTAGTGCAGATGATGGGCACACCTAAGATGAGTTCGATCAGAAGCATGGGGAACTCATGTATTAGATTCATCTTGAAAATGTCCTGCAAAGTATCCAAGACTGCTGGTTAAGGAAAATAGAGTCAAACTAAATGTAGCTAAGAGTAATACAATTTGCAAGCATTATTGACTACATGGAGGAAAGCCCATCTGTGTACAAAAGCTGCCCACAAACAGAATGACAGTTACCCAAGTGGTCATACATGAGTAATTGAGAATTGTCTTTAAATTGTTTAGAAGACAGCCTCGAGATTTTTAATACATTATTTAATAGTTTATTAAATTATGAGCTTAGATTCTTTGTGAATAAATTAGAAAACATGGATGAGTGTAAATCAATTAAGAAAAACTACTAAAACACTTTATATATTTTTTTATTTAATTTTATTTATTCATTCATTTATTTTTTAATTTGACCAGAGAGAGACAGAGGGTGAGAGTGAGAGAAAAAGTGAGAAAGCAAGCCACCAGATTCAGGACTTGAACTCTGGTCGGCCATGTGGGAATGTCCAGCACCTTAACCACCACACCACCTGCTGGTTCCCGCACACTTTATATTTTTTATATATTCCAGCATATATACATATATAGCATATGTAGAACACACAAAATTCTTAAGATGATATCAGACTTTATGGTTTTGTAACTTTTTTCACTTAACAAATTTTGTCAATATCAATAGAAATATACTTTTAAATCATTCTAAGAGCTGCTGCATAGTAATTTTTGTACAGACATTCCATATAATCGACCAGTTCTCTAAATTTAACAGTGCAGATTTCTTTTCCAGTGTTATAAACAGTCCTTTTTCATTGTTTTCTTTTTAAAAGGGTTTTTGCCATGTTGTGATCCTCCTGTCTCAGCCTCCCAGCTAAGACTACAGGAGTACACATGTTACTATTATGTGTGGTCCATTTTTCAAATCAGGTCTTGCTTTGTTGCCCAGGCCAGCCTTGAACTCATGTCCCTCCTGCCTTAACCTCAAGTCTCTGGAATTGCAGGCACATGCCACTGTGTGTAGCCCTTAACTCTAACCTGGAACCAAACTCAGGCTGGGAAGCCTGAACTACAGCGTCTTCACAGCACACCACTGCAGCTGGACCCGATAAACAGTGCTTTGATGAATACTTTTGTATGTTTGTTTATATCGCCCTACACGTATTTTTGGACATTTTAGGGTATTTCTTTAGGATAAATTTAGGAAGTTCCTGGTATGATAACAGCTATACAGAAATTATATATTTCTCACTAGCATCCTTTGTCAATCCTTCTGATAAACTTACAGTGTAATAATGGGCAGGTCATTTAATTTCTTTGGGCATTGCTTGGGTTACTTCATGGTTGAGGTTCTTTTCGGTTCTAAAAGTTCATAGTTGCTAGGCTCAGAATGACAAAATAAGCTTGTGTGTGTGTGTGTATGTAATTTTTCCTAAAGAAGCAAAAATGAATTTGACTTAAAAGGTTTCAGTCTGGATGAAGGACAAAAAGCACATCTTCATGGATGCAGAGAAAGCATTTCATGAAATTCAGTACCATGTTATAATAAAAACAACAAACTAGAAATAGAAGGAAATTACCTCCACATA